GTTCAGTTCTAGTTCAGTTCTAGTTCAGTTCTAGTTCAGTTCTAGTTCAGTTCTAGTTCAGTTGTAGTTCAGTTCTAGTTCAGTTCTAGTTCAGTTCTAGTTTAGTTCTAGTTCAGTTCTAGTTCAGTTCTAGTTCTGTGTTTTTGGATACCTATATTTACCACAAAGGAAATAAATTCTTTATTATCATATAAGTAAGAAGTAATTTATATGAAAACCCCTAATATGTTTTAAAAAATATTTCGAAATTTGAACCAATAATTGTTTTGGCACTTTCACGCCCAAATGTCACAAGCAAAACATATTAGTTTGTCACAAAGCTAATCATCGTAAATTACTAAACACTTCAAGAACCCGAAAAACAATTGACAAGTGCATTTTTTTAACAAAAATATTAAAAAAAAAAAAACAAAGACTATAAAAATCAAGTAGTACTATGTTAAAGGTTGGTTGTCTTATATTCCACCACTCAAATATCAAATATCTTAGGATTGTGTTAGTGATTGTGCTGAACATGTGTCGGTAAATATCAACTTCCATGGTCACTTTGATTTTTCTGTAAATGTCACAGTAGATTTTTAAAGTGCAGCAGCTAAAACTCTTCAACTAAAACACACCTACTTTAAATTAAAATTTTTAAATTGTTTAAACAAATAAACGTTCTGTATATGTATAGTATATGTAATGTAGTAAATAGGTATTTGTATTAGTGTTGGTAATAATAACTTCAGCAGACCACCACCATTATTTTACCAACCATATAGTAGCTAATATAGCTTTTGCTGCCGTTGTTGGAGTTTTTTTTTTCAAATTGACGTTCAGTGACCGATAAATAAATACCACAAATTATCATAATAATTGTGGTCTACTATTATTTTGAATGTTTTGTTGTATATGGTATTGTATCTAAAATACATGTCATTTTCAGTATTTATATGAATTTACTATTAGAAGTGCTTGTAATTTTCATTTTGTTTTTTTTTTTTTTTTTTTTTTTTTTGTATTTACGTTTAAAAGCGGTTAATTTGTATGAGTAGAAATTAATGGATTTGATAACTAAATTATTTACAACAAAAAAACCCAATAACTCTATAATACACCTGTTGATTTAGAAACAAACAAAAAATTTTACAAAAAAAGATTGGTTTTTGTGTAGTAATGAAAAAAAACCTATTGAATTCATTTGGGCTTTAACATAAAGTACATTGACCTAAAATATTTTACTACATCTAAATTACTGAGCAGTAGCAGATTTTTGTACCATAGAAATATTAATTTATTGTTTCACTGTGTTTGATTTTTCATTAAAAATCTATGTTAATTATGGTATAATTATTTTTTGCGTGTGGCTCTTAACAATGCGAAATACTTAATTTTTTGTATTTCAATTTGTTTAAAATTTTTTTTAAATGTTTTTAAGTATTAAAGATTTTTGATAAAATTAAAAATCACTTTTTCGATGAAATAGGGTTGCCTTACATTTGTTTCGAAAAGAAATTAAAATGGATTTAAATGCTTTATGGAAAGAAACTTTTTTTATAAAAACTGAATTTCTCAAAATATTTTTATAAGATGAAAATTTCTAAAAAAAATTTTATAAAAATAAATTTTCTCAAAAATTTTTTATAAATAGAAAATTTTGTTTAAAAATAACATATTTTTAAACATTTTTATAAAAAGAAAATTTCTCAAAAATTTATTAAAAAAATCCAGTAAATGATTATTAATTTTCCATTAATCCACTTAAATGATGGGCAACCCTCAGGTCAATTGTATCTGCAGTTTGTTCAGTGAATTGTTCGAGTGGAAAAAGATTATTTACAATATCCATTCCAATTTTTATTATCTAATTAATTTATCTATACAAAACTATTTGTTTATTAGTTTTAGTTTGAAATAATAATAATTATTTCCTTTGTTTTGATTTTACTATTCTAAACAAAATGTGTTTCTATCATATCATTTCATTTATTTATTTATTCATTATTACTGTTGTGTGCTGGGTGTCTTTATTTGTTTAAATTTTCAACAAACTGCGTTTATCTGCTATTTTACGTCTTATTGACCTTGTATACATTTGTTGTTATTGTAAGCAATTTTTTTTTTTTGTAAAATGAAAATTTTTAATTAAATTTTAAAATTTCCATAAATTTTAAGATAATTTCCAGCCAGTGCGGTCGGTGTAATTTCTGATTAATTAAAACATTTGTTTGGGAAATATTAGATTTTTATTGCTTAATAAATAATTGTATTTAAGAATTTTGGGAAATATTAGATTTTTATTGCTTAATAAATAATTGTATTTAAGAATGAAAATCCAAACATATTTTAATATTTGAAATATATTTGGAAATAATTAAACCAATGCTGGAAATGAAGGTTAATTTATAATTAAAATGTTTAGTTTTTTTTTTTTTATTATTATTTGTTTCTAAACTTTGAAATGTGTTAAAAAAATATGGAAATTTTTATTACTTCTTAAAGCAGAATGTTAAAGAATTGCCATATTTAAATGGCATAAGTAAGTACATATATAAAATTTGTTCTAATTGTTTGATGGATTTTAGTAACATTATCTTACTCTGACCTACTCTCATGATTTTCATATGAGAAATTTATCTAAATCAAAGCTAGAAAATTATTTTCCCATGAAAATAGTTTTGCTACTCACTGTTCTATATGTTAATTTTTTTATAAATTCTCATACATCTTTCGCTTCATTATTTTAAAGTTCACGTCAAATTATCATCTAATAAGTCTGGGAAAATATCTCAAACTAAGTTTCTAAACACACAGCTTTCATAAGGTAAATACAACCACAAAAAATAGAAATAAATAATAAATAAAAAAAAAAACATTTTTAACTATAAGTGAACAATGTTACACCATTGTTTTGTTAGAGGTACTAGTTGAAAAAAAAGAGTCATGTAATCTATTTACATTCTACCGATACAAAAATTTAACATGTACAATAAAAAACCGATGCCTTTAAAATAAAATTGAACCTCTTTCTTACTCTACTTACTGACATTTATATCAACAACATTTACTCAAACCAGCAGATACATTTTTTTAAAATAACTTTTGAATTAAAAATGTTACAACAACATAAATAAATAATGTTTATTACACTACATATAAGTATGTACATAATAATAAAAATAACCATAACAATAATCATCATAAAAAAGAACAATGTCATAATTATCTAAAGTAATGTGATATAACTGCAATATCATGCTGATCATAATTATCACCATCATCCATCAGTTGTGGTACGACGTCGATCGTAGCACGAATATGGATGGAGGAGGTATGGTTGGTTGTCTAAAAGAATGTTTTAAAAATGTGTTTTTTTTTTTTCTACAGATATTCTTCACTTAATGTTTTATTAAGTACATAAACAAATAAAAAAAACATTGTTTTTTTTTTATAATGTGATAAATTTTTTTGTCCGTGATAAATGTTTTCATTCTTGTATCTTATTTATGTCTAGGTTAAATATCTGCCTACTGTTTTCATCGTGTTTAAAGTTGTAGATTCTTAGAATGTTGTTGATGTTGTAATTCTTGCATTTACTTGTTGTTATATATTTTTTTTTAATTTTGGTATGTGTAACACAAAAATGTTAAGTGTTTATTTTAACAATAAATCTACTTTTTTGTTTTTCTTTTGTTTTGTAAAAAAAAGTTATCTCTTGAACGATAACTTTAATGGTATAACTGTAAATTCTGAGATGTACAACCTGTTGAAATTAAAAACAAAATTTCAAAATTAAATCTCGACAGGTCTTTCAAAATTTAATTATTTATTAGAGTCAGAACATAATATTCAATTCGTTTAAAATATTCAGTTTAGTTCAGTTCTAGTTCAGTTCTAGTTAGTTCTAGTTCAGTTCTAGTTCAGTTCTAGTTCAGTTCTAGTCCAGTTCTAGTTCAGTTCTAGTTCAGTTCTAGTTCAGTGTTAGTTCAGTTCTAGTTCAGTTCCAGTTCAGTTCTAGTTCAGTTCTAGTTCAGTTCTAGTTCAGTTCTAGTTCAGTTCTAGTTCAGTTCTAGTTCAGTTTCTAGTTTCAGTTCTAGTTCAGTTCTAGTTCAGTTCTAGTTCAGTTCTAGTTCAGTTCTAGTTCAGTTCTAGTTCTTCTAGTTCAGTTCTAGTCAGTTCTAGTTCAGTTCTGTTCAGTTCTAGTTCAGTTCTAGTTCAGTTTCTAGTTCAGTTCTAGTTCAGTTCTAGTTCAGTCTATTTCAGTTCTAGTTCAGTTCTAGTTCAGTTCTTCAGTTCTTCAGTTCTAGTTCAGTTTAGTTCTTCTAGTTCAGTTCTAGTTCAGTTCTAGTTCAGTTCTAGTTCAGTTCTAGTTCAGTTCTAGTTCAGTTCTAGTTCAGTTCTAGTTCAGTTCTAGTTCAGTTCTAGTTCAGTTCTAGTTCAGTTCTAGTTCAGTTCTAGTTCAGTTCTAGTTCAGTTCTAGTTCAGTTCTAGTTCAGTTCTAGTTCAGTTCTAGTTCAGTTCTAGTTCAGTTCTAGTTCAGTTTTAGTTCAGTTCTAGTTCAGTTCTAGTTCAGTTCTAGTTCAGTTCTAGTTCAGTTCTAGTTCAGTTCTAGTTCAGTTCTAGTTCAGTTCTAGTTCAGTTCTAGTTCAGTTCTAGTTCAGTTCTAGTTCAGTTCTAGTTCAGTTCTAGTTCAGTTCTAGTTCAGTTCTAGTTCAGTTCTAGTTCAGTTCTAGTTCAGTTCTAGTTCAGTTCTAGTTCAGTTCTAGTTCAGTTCTAGTTCAGTTCTAGTTCAGTTCTAGTTCAGTTCTAGTTAAGTTCTAGTTAAGTTCTAGTTCAGTTCTAATTCAGTTCTAGTTTAATTTGAGTTAGGGTTATTTATAAGTTGAACATGTGTAAATATATTAATTTATAATTGTCCTACATCTTTCTATTTTTTAGTCTAGTCTTACAATTTTTTATTTCACTTAAAAATAAAAACATAAATCTAATTCTGTGTTTAAAATTTGTTTTCTTTTTAGTTTTGAACCGGATTTTAATGAACAAATCATAGCAAACACGCTAAACATCCACAACACTGTAGTTAACACATACATTTTTAATGTCCGCAAAACATCAAAAATCGCAAAAAGCTGTGTTTAAAAATCCAAAAGCAAATAAACAGTAACAGATTCAGTTTACAAGCATAAATCGAACACAAAAAAAATATTGCAAAAAAAAAAAAAAATAAAACAGTGTAAATACAAAAGGAAAAACTTAAAACCCCATAACTAGTAAATAAAAAAAGTCAAAATGAATTTTACACCCACAATATTTATAGTAAAGCTACTGGCGGCCATGCAAGTGTTAATGACACTTGATATGCCCTTGAGCACAACGATGGCATTGCCTGTTACATCGAAGCCCATCGAAAGTACAGTGGAAAATTTGGCATGGCAGGCCTGGATTGAATTACCACCGGAACAAAAACAACAAGTGAAATCACGTAAAGTTACACCAAAATCAATATTTACTTTGCCATTACGAGTGGAGTGTCCGGAGGGACACAAACAGGTGGATACTAAATGTATACCCATCGTTATTGGTTCCAATGATGTATTGATCGATTTGAATGCATTGGGTCTGTTGGTGGGAAATACACAAACCGATGAACTCTACGATTACGATGATATGGGAGAAGAAATGGGTAGCTCTCTGCCGTATGGTAGTGAAATGCCAATGGGGGAAGCGGAAAAATCTGTAGAAGGCATAACGGTTGAATTGAAGCCACCCTCGAAAGATGAACCTTTAAAATTTAATATATTTGAAAATAAGTTCAATATATTTCATGAAGAACCATTGGAAGACTATTCATCGATATCAAATGAGGGCGTACAAAGCTCGGAAAAGGAGCAAAATGTTACCTTGACTACTCCCCAGGCAACGAACAAAACTACTGTTGCTCAAGCCAACATAACTGACATTAATGATTTGGTTAGTGAAGCCTCAAATATCTCGGAAAATAGTTTTGAAATTTACATGCAGCGCGAAAAGAGCTCCACTTCCTCCACTGATAATGTAGCTGAAGAAAGTTATACTTTGACAACTTTGGCAGATGATCCAGATTTTAGAATCGAAGCCATTTCTTTGCCAGCTGCTGGTTTTGAAGTGCTAAAACCCAATAAGTTGTCAATAATACAAAATGATAGTTCCGTACAACTGGTCACTTCTATAATGGATACAGACAGGACAACAAGCAAAGATGATCATGACAAACATGTGGAAAATGATTTGCAGACATTATTACAAACTGAATCATTTTTGCCCATGTTGCAACAGGCTACTGCAACAACATTGCAAGACACGAATGTGGCTACAGCTGAAAGTTCTTCACTTACTACAATTTCTGCTCAAGAACCTAGTGAAAGTTCTCTAGACACTCTTAGCCTCAATGTGGATAATGAAGAAATGACCACTTTACCCAATGTAATGGAACAAGATGGGGAAGTGAAGGATAAACAGGAATACACAAGAAGTGTTACCATAAATCCCTTAATGATTGATGACAGTGATGCTGATGATAATGGCAATAATGATGAGGTTAAAGATACAACCTTGGAATCCGTAACGAATGATGAACCTTTAGAAACCACAACACCAATACAATTGGATGACACAACTATAATTGAAACATCTTCGTCTTTGTCTACCACTCCAGCAACACAAGTAGAACTTAAAGAATTGCTGTTGCAACAAGAACAAGCTCAAAAGGATTTTGAAGAATTACAGCGAATGCGCAAAGGCCAAAAAGATCAACAACATGTTGTGTTGAAGAAATCGAAAGTAGAACCGGTTAAGGTGTTGTCCACAACAACAGAAGCAGCAACTACAACAACAACTGCTACCAACCTGCCAACTGAAACCGAAACAAAAACACAAGATGAATTTGTAACAAAAACAGCAGAAACAGCAATGACACCGTTACTTACTGTCCATAATGAAAACGATAATAATGACCGGTTTTACTATCAACACTTTGCCAAACAAGACAGCGAAGAACTACAGAGCTCTGGCAGTGTAACAACAACGATGGCGACAGCATCGGCGGAAGCAGCAGCAACTAAGGCTACAGAAATTGAAACAATTCCATTATCAAGTGAAATTGATCTGGCCGAAGAATTACGTTTAATTAACGAGTTAGTGAAGGGCATACGACCAGCTACCACCTTAACAACAATCAAATCAATGCAAGCAACAACTACAACAACAACCGAAAACCCCACAACAAAAACAACAATCAAAACAACATTGCCTGATAAAATTCAATCAAGTACCTCCCCTGTTTCTTTGAGTGAAAGTTCAACAATTGCAACTAAACCTACTCCATCAACTTTACAAATATGGTCAAAAATAATGCCACTATTAACACCAACAACATCAACAACTCCCAAAAGTTCTTCACAAGAAAATTTGAAAACAACGACAGAAAGCTCTACATTAAGTACACAAGAAGTTTCGAATGATATACAAATAAGTGAACCAACGTCTTCCTCTTCTATGCGCAGCAATAGAAATAGTAAAATCATTAGAATAAATGGTTTTAATAGTATATCAACTGGAAAAGCCTCTACCACTTCGACATCCACAACAACAGAAGAAACAACAACAATTGAAGATTCTTCCGCCAGCAGTAAAAGTGAAAATCTAGAATCTTCTACTGAGAATAACACTTATCAACCCTACTGGTGGCTGCCGGTGGCCTGGCGTTTAGATAAACCTATAAGCAGTGAAAAACAACTGGAAGAAGAACAAGAGGTAAAGTCCGAAGAACAACCTTTATTATTACGATTTTGGTCAGCATATCATGCTCCCAAATCAAGTTAAACTCTAGTTTGAATTGTGTTTTTTAGTATAAATGTTTGTAGGAAAAACTAAAAAAAAACGCCTCAAAAGTATTAAATAAAAAACTTTAAAGTTTTATTTAGTCAATGATGGGTGAAAAAGGTTTTAAAGCTTTCCGGTCCAGATATACTATTTAAAATATTCTGTTGTCAGCATCATTGAAACGTTAACAAGAAAGTATTAACGTTTTTTAATCGACTGCAAAGTATGATTTAACGTTTGTGTGACACTGAACAGCTTTGAAAAGCTTTTGTCGATTTATATAAGTGGCTTTTAAAAAATTAAAAAAACAAATTCTTTTCAATATTTTTGGTAATGTTTTCAAAAATTTTGTAAAAGTTATAATAAACGGTTGTTTTGTCTTTCTTAGGTTGAAGCTAAACTTAAAACTTTAATTAACGTAAACAGTGGTTATTTGTAAGTTTCCTCAAGAAAGAGCTTAAAGGTTTTTAATGCAAAAGCTTTTAAACAGTATTAACTTAATGGCAGAATATGAAGTTTTGTCTTATTTTGAGCATTAAGTAAAAATATTTGGTTTTACTGTTATGTTGAACATTTTTGAAGTTGTGGCTGTTTTATATTTATAAAATTCAGCATTTTGTATGCAAGGATAGATTTTCACTTATTATTTTCATAGTTTTTTTCTTTATATTCAACTTTGTTGTGATTTATAAAAGCTTTCATTATAAACTTAACTGTTTATTATTTCAAAAGCTTAAAAAAGATTGTAATATTTTGATATTTAGGAATTATTGAATATAATTGAGTTGTCTCTTAACAACTGGAAAGTCAAACTTGATTTATAATGTTAGTTTTGAAATTATTAGATAAAATAAAAGCTTAATTATCTCATACAAATTTAACTCAATTTTTTAACTTAAATTTATTATTCTGTATTTAAATTTATCCTCGCAACAATCTTTTTATTAAAAAAAACTTTAAATCAAAGCAAATAAATTTTCTATTAATATCCCGAAACTCTTAAAGCTTTTAATCTTTGATCCCATCATCAAATGCCGTCATATACATATTTAAATGCATACCTTTAAATTATCGATATTATATTTACTAATGAGATTTTTTTTAAGATTTATGCATTTTTTCTAAAACTCATCCCACAAATTACAACAGGAAGTTAAAGAAAACTTAAACAATTTTTTTATTACAATTTGTTATAATATTTGTGTTAATAATAATTTTAAGTTGTTGTTGTTTGTACATATAATTTGTTTGATAAAATGTTAGAAGAACAGAGGAGAACATAAAAATCGTAAAAGGGTTACACTAAATACGTGAGACCAGTAGCAATATTTACTTGTGATTTACATAAAAACCTTAAATAAATAAAAACAAAAATATTTAAAAATTTTAATCCCAAATATTATTAAATAAGTATTTATACGAAAATAATCAATATTAAGTGTAAAAAGTATAATATTTTCATATAATTGTCTTTATTAGAGTGTAGTTAAAACATAAATAAATGTAAACATTATTTTGTAGTTTGTAAAAATATTTATCATATTATTTTATAATTTTTTTAAGTACCTTTTATAATCAATGTTTTATGTACAAAAATTTATAGCTTATTAATTAAGTCACCTCATTTATAAATATTTTTTGTAATATTAAAATTTCAATAATAATAATAATAAAAAGAATCTCTTAAAAAAATATTTTAAAAATTATCAAAAAAAAAAAAAAAACTTGCCCAACTATTAATTTTATTAAAAATAAAATAACAACTTTAACATTCATACAAAATTAAAAAAATACAATATAAATTTCTGTAACTCAATTAAAATTGTGTTATTGTAACTACTTATTATGCTATAACTTTCCCCCAATTAATAAGTTGTCTTTAAATCTATACATTCTTTATCGTAATTTGTTTATTTTTTAACTATTATTTTAAAAGTTTTTATTAAATTAATAAAAAATTATTAGTAATGTGTGTACATACTTATATAGAAAATAAAAAATGAGAATTCTCGTTGTATTTATTGTTTATATTATGTTTTCTTAATATAAATTAATATGCTAAATGTAAATGTTAATAATATACATAAAAATAAATTAAAAATATTATTTTTTTAACAAAAATCGAAACAAAAGTAACAATAAAAGATCTAATGTTTTTAGAAAAATATAAAAAAAATATTGTTTTAAATAGTCCAATGATTAGACAGACACAACACTAACTCTCATCGTTTTGGAAAGGAAAGCATTATAAATCAGGGGGCTTCTCTAAATTCATATTTGTGCCATTTCTTTAAATCAAACAGAACTCAGCTTTCTAATTCAACAAGTTCTGTTAATATAGTTAAAATGGTAGTTAGTAGCCTTTCTCCTAGTAGCAGAAAATTTTGTGGCCTTTCCAAGGATACTAATATCTCCCAAATTTAATCACGTAGTTGAAGTATAAGCGTTTAAACATTAGACAGACATAACACTCATCATAGCGTTTTGGAATGGAAACCATTAGGTTTAACTTGTTATAACTCCTAAACGGCTCAAAGGAAGTCCATCATGTTGGTACTCGTTGGAACCGTATGGAACTCGACTTTTCAACGAAATAAGTTTAGTTGGAATAACTTTTACAGCTTCCTAGTTATAACTGATTTTCGTATATTTAACGCTTAGCTCCCGAATATTTGTAAGCAGTTTAAAAGCTTCACTTTCGAGAAAAAGTATAGTTCCCGACCTTTCCAGGCATACCAATATCTTTAAAATCTGTTTAGCCGCTTAGAATTCATGAGCGTTCAAACATTAGACAGACATAACACTCACGCTCAGCGTTTTGGAATGGAAGCTCTTAGTATTAACTTGTTACAACTCCTGAACGGCTTAAGGGATGCCCACCATATTTATACTCGTTAGAATCGTATAGAACTCAGCTTTCCAAAAAAGTAAGATTCGTTGGAATAGTTCTTACAGGTTACGTGTTATAACCGATTTTTGTATATTTCACGCTTAGCTCTCAAGATTTGTAAGCGTTTAAGAAATTTCAACGTTCTGCAAAAACTAGAGCTTGTGGCCTTTCCATGGATACCAATATCTTTAACATCGGCTTAGCCCTTTGGAAGTAATAAGCTTTTAAACATTGTCACCAGTGAATTTCAACCTACTACTCAGTTCTGTTCTCCTAGTACCAGAAAATTTTTCGGAGAATATTTTTATATGGTCACGCTGGCCAATTTCACGGTTTTGGCATGAACACGATTAGGTTTAACTTCTTCTAATTCCGAGTTCGGTTGAGGGATGCCCATAATATTGGTACTCGTTGGAAGCGTATGGAATTCAGCTATCTGATAAAAGAACTATTATTGAAATATCTGCATTAGGTTCGAAGTTAAGGGATAGTTCCTAAAGTTCCCATTTGTGACACTAAATTTGGAGGAAGCTAAAATATTTCAACTTGTGGAGAAAGTAGAGTTTGTGGCCTTTCCAAAGATACTAATATCTCCCAAATTTAATCACGTAGTTAGAAGCTATAAGCGTTTAAACATTAGACAGACATAACACTCATCATAGCGTTTTGGAATGGAAACCATTAGGTTTAACTTGTTATAACTCCTAAACGGCTCAAAGGAAGTCCATCATGTTGGTACTCGTTGGAACCGTATGGAACTCGACTTTTCAACGAAATAAGTTTAGTTGGAATAACTTTTACAGCTTCCTAGTTATAACTGATTTTCGTATATTTAACGCTTAGCTCCCGAATATTTGTAAGCAGTTTAAAAGTTTCACTTTCGAGAAAAAGTATAGTTCCCGACCTTTCCAGGCATACCCATATCTTAAAAATCTGTTTAGCCGTTTAGAATTCATGAGCGTTCAAACATTAGACAGACATAACACTCACGCTCAGCGTTTTGGAATGGAAGCTCTTAGTATTAACTTGTTATAACTCCTGAACGGCTTAAGGGATGCCCACCATATTTATACTCGTTAGAATCGTATAGAACTCAGCTTTCCAAAAAAGTAAGATTTGTTGGAATAGTTCTTACAGGTTACGTGTTATAACCGATTTTTGTATATTTCACGCTTAGCTCTCAAGATTTGTAAGCGTTTAAGAAATTTCAACGTTCTGCAAAAACTAGAGCTTGTGGCCTTTCCAGGGATACCAATATCTTTAACATCGGCTTAGCCCTTTGGAAGTAATAAGCTTTTAAACATTGTCACCAGTGGATTTCAACCTACTACTCAGTTCTGTTCTCCTAGTACCAGAAAATTTTTCGGAGAATATTTTTATATGGTCACGCTGGCCAATTTCACGGTTTTGGCATGAACACGATTAGGTTTAACTTCTTCTAATTCCGAGTTCGGTTGAGAGATGCCCATAATATTGGTACTCGTTGGAAGCGTATGGAATTCAGCTATCTGATAAAAGAACTATTATTGAAATATCTGCATTAGGTTCGAAGTTACGGGATAGTTCCTAAAGTTCCCATTTGTGACACTAAATTTGGAGGAAGCTAAAATATTTCAACTTGTGGAGAAAGTAGAGTTTGTGGCCTTTCCAAAGATACTAATATCTCCCAAATTTAATCACGTAGTTAGAAGCTATAAGCGTTTAAACATTAGACAGACATAACACTCATCATAGCGTTTTGGAATGGAAACCATTAGGTTTAACTTGTTATAACTCCTAAACGGCTCAAAGGAAGTCCATCATGTTGGTACTCGTTGGAACCGTATGGAACTCGACTTTTCAACGAAATAAGTTTAGTTGGAATAACTTTTACAGCTTCCTAGTTATAACTGATTTTCGTATATTTAACGCTTAGCTCCCGAATATTTGTAAGCAGTTTAAAAGTTTTACTTTCGAGAAAAAGTATAGTTCCCGACCTTTCCAGGCATACCCATATCTTAAAAATCTGTTTAGCCGTTTAGAATTCATGAGCGTTCAAACATTAGACAGACATAACTCTCACGCTCAGTGTTTTGGAATGGAAGCTCTTAGTATTAACTTGTTATAACTCCTGAACGGCTTAAGGGATGCCCACCATATTTATACTCGTTAGAATCGTATAGAACTCAGCTTTCCAAAAAAGTAAGATTTGTTGGAATAGTTCTTACAGGTTACGTGTTATAACCGATTTTTGTATATTTCATGCTTAGCTCTCAAGATTTGTAAGCGTTTAAGAAATTTCAACGTTCTGCAAAAACTAGAGCTTGTGGCCTTTCCAGGGATACCAATATCTTTAAAATCGGCTTAGCCCTTTGGAAGTAATAAGCTTTTAAACATTGTCACCAGTGGATTTCAACCTACTACTCAGTTCTGTTCTCCTAGTACCAGAAAATTTTTCGGAGAATATTTTTATATGGTCACGCTGGCCAATTTCACGGTTTTGGCATGAACACGATTAGGTTTAACTTCTTCTAATTCCGAGTTCGGTTGAGGGATGCCCATAATATTGGTACTCGTTGGAAGCGTATGGAATTCAGCTATCTGATAAAAGAACTATTATTGAAATATCTGCATTAGGTTCGAAGTTAAGGGATAGTTCCTAAAATTCCCATTTGTGACACTAAATTTGGAGGAAGCTAAAATATTTCAACTTGTGGAGAAAGTAGAGTTTGTGGACTTTCCAAAGATACTAATATCTCCCAAATTTAATCACGTAGTTAGAAGCTATAAGCGTTTAAACATTAGACAGACATAACACTCATCATAGCGTTTTGGAATGGAAACCATTAGGTTTAACTTGTTATAATTCCTAAACGGCTCAAAGGAAGTCCATCATGTTGGTACTCGTTGGAACCGTATGGAACTCGACTTTTCAACGAAATAAGTTTAGTTGGCATAACTTTTACAGCTTCCTAGTTATAACTGATTTTCGTATATTTAACGCTTAGCTCCCGAATATTTGTAAGCAGTTTAAAAGTTTCACTTTCGAGAAAAAGTATAGTTCCCGACCTTTCCAGGCATACCCATATCTTAAAAATCTGTTTAGCCGTTTAGAATTCATGAGCGTTCAAACATTAGACAGACATAACACTCACGCTCAGCGTTTTGGAATGGAAGCTCTTAGTATTAACTTGTTATAACTCCTGAACGGCTTAAGGGATGCCCACCATATTTATACTCGTTAGAATCGTATAGAACTCAGCTTTCCAAAAAAGTAAGATTTGTTGGAATAGTTCTTACAGGTTACGTGTTATAACCGATTTTTGTATATTTCACGCTTAGCTCTCAAGATTTGTAAGCGTTTAAGAAATTTCAACGTTCTGCAAAAACTAGAGCTTGTGGCCTTTCCAGGGATACCAATATCTTTAACATCGGCTTAGCCCTTTGGAAGTAATAAGCTTTTAAACATTGTCACCAGTGGATTTCAACCTACTACTCAGTTCTGTTCTCCTAGTACCAGAAAATTTTTCGGAGAATATTTTTATATGGTCACGCTGGCCAATTTCACGGTTTTGGCATGAACACGATTAGGTTTAACTTCTTCTAATTCCGAGTTCGGTTGAGGGATGCCCATAATATTGGTACTCGTTGGAAGCGTATGGAATTCAGCTATCTGATAAAAGAACTATTATTGAAATATCTGCATTAGGTTCGAAGTTAAGGGATAGTTCCTAAAGTTCCCATTTGTGACACTAAATTTGGAGGAAGCTAAAATATTTCAACTTGTGGAGAAAGT